ACACAAATAATCTAATCCTCAGTATTTGTCATATTGTTACATATGAATGGGTGTACATATATATATATATTCATAAACACCTACAGAGGACAAATACTCTTTTTATTTCTATATATTGAGTAATTATTTGTATATCGGTTTTAGTTGATTTTTCAACTTGTTTATTCCAAAGACTTGTCTTTTAATATAGATATAGCTGAAAGTGCAAATGATCTCCAGTTAGTGATCGATCTAATTATTCTTTATTTTCCAAGATAACTTCTTATTAAAAAAAGAAATTGCCCATTTTTGGCCCGTGTTTCCTAGCCTGTCTCCTTACTCTATGCTCACTTTGAGAAGTGAAATTGGACAGTTCTGTCATATACACACTATGGGGGTTCTGTATAGGGGGCAGTTGTGGGAAATTTTCTCATAGAGGGGCAATCAGAAGGAACATTCTAATGGTTCCCATGGTAACTGCTCCACTGTTTTAAGCTTGCAACATAGTTGATTTTTTTTTTTCTAAATGGCATATGGGGTTTATTTACTAAGCTCTGATTTGTAGAGAATTGAAATCTGACTTGCAAAATGTAATTCAATGCAATTCAAATTTAAATTCACTACTATTTAGAGTTTATCTGTTCTGGCGAAACTAATTTAAAACCACGTTTCCACAAAAAAACAAGATATAATAATAGTTTATTGGGATCACCCAGAAAGCCTCAAATAAAATCCTGCTTTCTAAATAATATCTCCCAGAATTGGCAGACAAACACGCAATGAATAAACTGTACTAAATCTCAGGGATAAATAATGATACTTTTAACACAATGTGGGAGTATTCACTAAATATCGAATTGGGATGAAATTATTTTTTTTTCTGATACATGTAGGTCATTATCATTACACTTTCCAAATCACATTGCAACCTATATTTTGAAATGCGTTAATCGATTCACCAAAAACTCGCTCTTTAGTAAATGTAACTCAAATGTCGACATAATTAAAAATCTCCAGCTACATGAGTTTGTTTTTTAATTTGGACTAAAGTTTGGAGAATGTGTCCAGTCAGCACAGCCTCTGGGGTATATTTACTAAACAGTCAGTTGAAACTACAGGCAAAACTTAAACTAAAATATAAATTAAAAAACAACCTCACCCTCAGTATTTGGGATTCCCATCGGTGTGAATTTTGCTTGCTTTATTGAATAACCCTGTAATAAGAGACTGGGAGCAGCCTGATCACAATACTTACCCACATTGTGGAACATTACTGAGAGGGCTTTATATAGAATACTTTTGCTATATATGGACCTAGTGCATTCAAAACTAACTCTCTGCTTCCATTAGGCAAGAATTTAATTTAAAATAATGTGATTTAACTGTTTATTGCCCCCATCCCTATAGCTATATATTAATCTGCTCATTGCCATACATTGGTATATTCAAAAACAGGATTAAAGAAGCACATAGTGGAGGTGTGGGGGGAGAGAAATATCTCAATACAGAAGGTAATGTATATGAGGGAGTAATGGAGAGAGCTATAGGGATGGGGGCAATAAACAGTTAAATCACATTAAGAGACTGGGATAGAAAAGAGATTAATAGTTTAGAGAGGACAGAGGGAAGGAATTGAGAGAGAAGCACGCTGGAGGAGAAAAATGACAGACAGACAAACAGACAGTCAGAAATGGATAGAGACTTGCATTGCAGTGTGACCCCTGGCTCTCAGTTTGTGATGTATAGTTGGTTAAGGAATCAAGTCTCATCCTGACAGTTCTCTTGAAAGACAATCCCTGCTCATCCCAGCCCCTCATTCAATAGCAGGTCCCAGAGTCAGCCACCCAAACCTCCAATCCACATTGTAATAGCTCACACTCCCAGATACTGGCAGAATAACATGGAGCAGGGCAACCTGCCTCTCTGACCCCTCTGTATACAAATACATATACCCAGATTTCATGTGTACTAAACCTATATAGCATGGACCTAGCACAGACCTCCCCAGACTGTATAATACCCAGCAGCTATAGTAACATTATTACTTTACAAGCACTACAACAGATCACCCTGTGTATGGCTCAATAAACAATTAGAATGACTGTGGTTTAATCATTAGATACACTACTGCTATGAGAGAAGTAACAGATTCATTAGCTGACTAGTTAAGAGATCATTTGCTAAACAATGTGACCAATATGAAGAGTGATCTATTGGTCTGATAGCCTATAATTAAGGGGAAGAGACCCCCCATCGCCTGTACGAATACACTGAATTATAGGGAATTAAAACCCGAATTGCAATTCTAGAAATATTCTCCAGAAACGCTATAGACACATCTTGCCTGTTTTAGCCTGAATTTTGGATTCAGTCTGCTACAATTTGGAGTTTAGTAAATAGTCCTGTTAGTCCTTAAGTCAAATGTGATAAATATTAGTAAATACATAATGTTCAATATTTTAGGGCGATCTGATGGGTATATTAACTAAACAGTAATTCGTGGCGCCTTTTCAACTAATTTGCAAATTTTACTCCAAGAAAAAAAAACAACGAAATAAATCTCCAACTGGGATAAATCTCAATAAAATATGTTTTATATATATATATATATATATATTTATTTATTTATTATTCAACTACTTTGGCCTAAATGCTGCAAGTCTGTTTTCAGTTAGCCATAAATTGCTGTATAGGAAATGTTATTATTAAGTAATAGAATACAGTAACAACTACACCGAAAAAAAAGATTAATCAATTAAATAACTTGCCGCAAGGTCTCATGTTTCATAAATATCATCTAAAAAATAATAATTTAAAATCATAATTTACCTTCTATCATTGCTCCTATTATTTAAAACAATGCAGAATAAAGGGAATTTATAAATTCAAAAATATTACACATCTACATATACACACGTGAACCTTTCGAGTATTTTTTTGTAATTTTTTTTAACAATTTAAAAAAAAATAATTATACTATGTGTATTGACCAGAATAAATGTAAGATTGCAGACTTTTTTTTCTAAATTAGTGTATTCATTATGTATAATGTCAGGAATACACACACACACACAAAGTTATTTTGGTTGTCTTCTTCCCAGGGTTAATTAAAATCTATCCAGAATCTGGCAATGGAGAGGAGATGGCAGATCTGATTAAACGTGTCAGGGTGCCTGACCAGTATATATTGGGTCTATAATAGGAGAGGGTGTTCAGGGGGGTAGCAGGGGGAGCCTGTCATTTTAACACTATATTAATGCTAGCAGTATGTCAGTCTGTGAAATCAGATCAGGTCACAGAACATCATTTTTCATTCAGGATGCCCCCTCTTTATTTCCTAGGACAACCCTTCTCTTATCCACCTTAAAAGGGTATATCCAGTAAATATGTCCCCACAGATACTCCATTTGGAGGGTCTCAGCAGATCTGTTCTGTAAAGAAGGGTTTCAGGAATTGAATAGATCTATCAGAACAAAGAGGCCACTGATGAGAGACGTTTGTCTGTATGAGAAGCTTCTGATGAGCTTAATATGCAACCTTTATTGGCTATTGTGTCAATTGGCTAAAGTACATACATTGAGTTAAATAAGTAAACTGTTACATCCAGGGGGGGAAACCGTGTGGGAATATTGCAAAGGACCTGTATTTGAGGGATTTTTAAAATTATATATATATATATATATTTATAGGATATAGCTGACATAACTATCCGTCCCTACGTTCAAATAGAGTAGATAAATCGAATAACATTTGAATTTAAACTGAAATAAAACAAGTTTAAAAAAATTATATATATATACATACACACACACACACAGATATATAGATATACAATTCTACTATACATAGAGAGATAGAGGTACAGAAACCATACTGTATGATCTTATTGTAAACACGTGTTATAATTTTATGTATTTAACCTGCTATACAATATACTGATTTAAATTAGAGTGAAAATCACTGTTTAATAACTTATTATTATTTTTTTTAAATGCGTTAATTTTCTTGAAGAAAGTGTCTTTGTCTTTCATTTTTGTAGGGTTCATTCTCGGAGTAGCGATTTGTAGTCACTTGAGAACCGATTTGTATAATAGAAAATTATTGGAGAATTGGGAATGCGTCTAATTTTCAACACACATACACATATAAATAATATAACATTTATAAAACACATACATAAATATATTATATATATATATACACACACACACACACACACACACACATATATATATATATAAAACGCATGCATATATACATAACATATAAAACACAGACATACATATAAAACGAGTATAACACATGCAACAGAGGTATGGATATTTGATGTATATAGAAAATAAATATATATTTGAATACATAATACCATGTGCAGATTAATCAGTTGTTTAAATTTCTCCACATTCTATTCACTCATACATGTGCATATATATATTATGTGATTCCCTATAGCCATGAGTAAAGTGCAGGGATTGACTGGTCCGTTAATATTACAAGCTACAGATGAATATTAATCTTGATTTATTGGAAGCCAATATATATACATGCTATTATGGACGGTCATGTTTCTTGCTCACTCCCTGTCTGTATAATTATTTAATACACATCTGCCTGTCTCATAGATTTCTTAGCTCAATACTCTTTTTTTTTTTTTTTACTTTTTTTTTTTCCCAACTAAGACAAATTAATACTCAGCCAAAATGACAATAAAATTTACATTTTCTTGTTTGATGAGATACATGGCCATATTTTTCTCTCTCTACCTCTCCTGATTCCTTCTCACAGTCGGAGCCTCACTAAAATCTCATTGAATGGGATTTATTTAGTCGTTGGAGAGATAAATCAGTGGCTAAATTTACAGCCATTTAAGGCACCTGACTGTATAATAAGAACTTCATTTAGTGCTTGCTGGCTCCCTGTGACGTGTAGGCAGTGCACGGGGTTCCAATCGATGGACCAATCAGCGCGAGGCGTGGCTGCGCCGCGGCCAATCAGCGGGCGCGGCAGGCAGGTGGAAGCCCAGATATGAGTGCAATGTCCCTGGCTGCTTTGCGGAGTTGTTTCATCGGGACCCCTGCAGCTCAGTCTGGGGACACACACTGCAGATCACACCGATTTCCAAAGAGGATTGTTTTTGCAAGAAAACAAGAAAAAAAAAAAAAAAAACTCCCTTTAAAGAAATTGTACTGAAACCACCAGGGACAATAGAGAGCTGGAAGTCTCTGAAGAGGATTTCCTTCCCCACTTTTGTCCACCCCAGTCCCTTTTATTGCATAGAAACCTGCCCAGTTAATCCTGAGCTGACCATCACAAGGAACTTCTCCTGCAGAGCCTGCTGGTTCACACCACGTGCATTGAGGGGGCTTTACACAGGCTGCTGGGCTTGTGCTGGATGATCACAAATGTTAGCTGTGGGGCAGATGGATACTAACAGACAGGGTGCTTTTGTGCTGAGCAGCACACCCTTGGCTGCATTGCATAACATGGCTGAGATGAAAACTACGTTGTTCCCTTATGCTTTGCAGAATCCCTCCACTTTCAAAACCCCCAGCCTCTCCTCCCTCAACGCACAGATCCCCCTGGGGACACCTCATGGGATTAGTGACATCCTAAGCAGGCCTTTGGGTGCTACTCTGGGTGCGACCACTGGCAACCTCCTCACCAGCCTTCCTCGAATTAATGGACTTGCCACCTCCACTGGGATGTACTTTAACCCGGCAGCTGTGTCCAGGTACCCCAAACCCCTGGCAGAGCTGCCTGGGAGAGCCCCCATCTTTTGGCCTGGAGTTATGCAAAGTTCTCCTTGGAGGGACCCGAGACTCTCCTGTCCTTGTAAGTAGATCACTAAATCAATCAATACATTCCGGGTCACCTAACAATGTTACTGTGTGTCACTAATTTCATTCGAAATTCCTCAGGAGCCACCGGGGTCCTAAAAACCTGCTATGCGGCCCTTTCCGGCATTGCAAGGGTTAATGCATTTCTTTTATAAATCCTTCCCACTCTAAACAATCCAGCGTTGAACTGTTATATAGTAATGATTATTATTATAATTATTAGCATGTTATTCATTTCAGACAATAACATTGACTCTAAGTGCATTCCCCAATAATAATTATAATAAAAAATAGGATTTTTGGAATAAATAGACTCATTCTGCACATTGCTTTAACTGTTTCAGTGCTGAATGTCCATAGTTACTTGGAGAGAAAAAAAAAATTCTGCTCTTAATACTTTTTTTTTTTTAACCCCAAATCTTGAATGTGACAATTATGCAACAGTAAATATGCATAATATCAGTATGTTTGTTTGATTGTCAGTGAAAAACAATATTCTATTTATATTGACTTTAAACATACAGCTGGACTCTACCCTCCTTCAAAGCCAGTGATATCTATGATGTTATTCCTTTCAGCCCAAGCTGGGATGGTTCTAGATAAAGATGGCAAAAAGAAACATTCAAGGCCAACCTTCTCAGGACAGCAGATTTTTGCTCTGGAAAAAACCTTTGAACAAACCAAATATCTGGCTGGACCAGAGAGGGCTCGGCTGGCCTATTCCTTGGGAATGACAGAAAGTCAAGTCAAGGTAAGATCTGTCACATGTCTCTAATATGTGCTGCCATGTTGTCACTCAGTGTATTTATTTTATAACTAGCACTCACTCACTGCTAACAGATCTAGCTACAATCCAAATATATGCTTCTCAGAACTGCTTGGAAAACATGTCTGTGTGACTGGTTTATATTCTATATATAAATCACACATAGATCTTTCAGAAATATTATTCGTCAGAGGCACTTTAGGCATTCAGATTGTTTATAAATCAATGAAAAGCTCTTAAATTCTATAAGATAACAGATATATACCCTATAGCTTTAAAATAAAGATGTGGATTCCAAAACAGGGATATAGCATATATTTATACTTTGTATCAATAAGTTTTTTAACAAATACAAATGTACATTTTTTTTTTATCCTGTGTACTATATATGTATCAGATATCTATATACATATATATCAATGGAACGTTTGGCACTCTATAAATATATAATATAATGTGGTTGTGTGTATGTGTATGTGTGTGTGTATATATATATATATAATAAACCTACATATATAGGAATATATACACACATTGTATATATGTCATATGGACATGACGACTAACTTGAAAAAAATAATCCACTTCGCCTGCTTTTAACTTACATTTTGTTAACTGGTTGCTGTCATAACTCGCTTTTTAGTGCACCATAGGTGTTAATGCGAATTAACCCCTCCACATTATTAAAGGATTACCGATGCAGGCTTTAACTACTCCGCAAAGTTAGATACATTGCGATTTATTGCTTATTGTGTGATATAAGATACTGTAACGGCCAGCTGTTAGATCGCATCAGATTATTTATATTGATCGACACATTCTAAATGATACAGGTGTCCTTTTCAATGTTACAAAGAATCCAATCCTCACGTTTCAAAATAAACATTCCACAATAAATTAAATTAAACAACTGGAGGCAGAGCAAAGCAATTAAGTAAATGTGAGGAAACACAAACACAAGTCATAGGCTGTCAATCAGCTTTTACATGATAAATATACTGGGATCACTCATTAAATATCATACATATTTAATGAGTGATATATCTATATACTTATTAAATATATATATTTTTATTTTTTATTTCCAATATGTGACTGTATATATGAATAATGTTATCCTGTAATTTTGTGTGAATACAGACAGATTCGAACTGGTTTATTTGGGAACAGATTGGATTATACTAATAAGAAACATTATTATTCAACAGGTTTGGTTCCAAAACAGAAGGACAAAGTGGAGGAAAAGGCATGCAGCCGAAATGGCTTCAGCCAAGAAGAAACATGACTCTGAAACCGAGAAAATGAAGGAAAGTTCTGACAATGAGGAAGATGATGAATATAATAAACCGCTAGACCCCAATTCGGATGATGAAAAAATCTCCAGGTTATTAAAAAAGCACAAATCTACAAACTTGAACCTCCTTAGTCCTTGCAGTAATAACTCTGACACTTTGTGATATAAACACAGAGCAAAGACTGTCCCTTCAAAAAATGGACCTACCCCCATCTTTCCTCCTTAAAGCGCTTTCAAAGCTGAATTAACCAGGGTATACAGATTATAAATAAGAAATTGTAAGTGGATGTTTAAAAGTGGTATGTGTTGTACAGCCTAAAAATGTATGTTAAGATGTATATATTTTTTACAGAATAAGTTATAAAAAGAAAAGATCTTACTGTTAATATTCCTTGGGTTAAAGGGGACCTTTAACCCTTTCACTGTCAGAGAGTCAGTAAATAGGTTAAAATAACCTTTACATTACCTGACTCCACAATTTTTTTTTCCCCATTAAGCTAAAGGCAAAACTGTTTGCATCTAGAATCAAAGTTTGTTACTTTTTGTACAGATGAGGCCATCTCCACTTTGTATATAGATATATAAATATATCTTATTGAAGAATCTGTGATGTGTTTTTTTTCCCACGGTAAAAAAAAGCTCTTTTTAAGGTTTCACTCTCTATAAAAAATTCTTAAAGGACTTTGTTCACAATTCAGCCAAAAAGAGAGAGAATCCTGACCATTTCATTTGAAGTTCAAGTCAGATATTGATGTTCAGAAATGCTGAAAAAACTTTGTATATTCAATAAATTATTTAACAGCTTCTCCTTACAAACCGACTGTCATTTCTAAAGTTAAAATGTAGTTAAATTGTCATACCTATTTTTTTTGTTTTCTTGAACTGTTTTAGAGAATAATAGAATATGATGAAAATGTACAAAAGGGAGAGAGTATTTATTTTAAAAAAATATATATTTTTAAGGAAAATAAAAACATTGCAATTGAGTTGTTAAATATATCACAATTGCGTTTTAAATTTTTTTTTAAAAAAAGCAAAGTTTTCTATAAATTGGAGGCAATCGATTATTGAAAATAAAATTACCAGGTCAAAATACTTTTTTTTTTATTATCGTTATAAAATACTTGTAAAAAATTGTTGGACGAATTTAAAACTCCTGATAGGTAAGATAGATAAGTACTCATATATACACATAGGGTTATTTCTAAGTATTTTCTACTTTGTTCTCCTAAATAGACTTTTAAATTTTTTTTTATTAGCAATATTTATATTAATGTATCCACAATGGACTAAAGCCTAAATCTGAATGGTGCCGTTTTGAGAAGTAACTTGGTAATTAAAAAGAAAACCTAAACTTAAAAATATTTTTAAAAAATAAAGTATAATCTCTAATTTAGATTGGTTGGTTATTTTGACTAAATTTAGCAAGACGGCTCTCAACCCACCCCCACCGCTTTTAAAAAATAAATAAATAATTAGTATAACAGTTTTTTAAAATTGTGAAATAATATAATTCAATTAAAAATCGCTTCAGTATATTTATATGGATATATAATCCTGGATGCATATCGTTTTATTTATTGTGTTATTGCACGTGTGTAATATTTACACGTAGAAATACTTTATTCTATATATTGTGTATATATATATATATATATATATATATATATATATATATATATATATATGTATGTTCTAAAAAAATGACACTATCTGGGATTGAATTATACTTCACTGGCTCTATTGATTTATATTAATATATAGGGATATTAAACTGCATTTCTGACTGTGCATAGTGAGTGATCATAGCAATATCTCAATGTTTTAATTTTACTTTATGCTTTCCATAAAAATAATATCTATTTATTAGTAAACTTGGGGAAAAGAGAGAAGGGATAGAATAAATCTTTAAGTGAATTATTAAGACTATTTGTTTATAGGGTTTACTGGCTATAAGATTTAACCCCATTGTACAGCCTACGGAATTTGCTGGCGCTATAAAAAAATATAAATAATGAGAAAATGAAACCTTTTTGTCTCAGCTATGAGCTTAGGAGGTACTGGAGAGAAAAGAGGTATATATTTATTAACATTATGGCTGTAGATCTAAGAAAATAAACTAAAAATATAGAAATTACAAAACAGCAATGAAACATTGATTTACATGTTGCAACAACTCAATGTGTGTGAGCAGGCATTTAATGTAACATTAGATCTAGGTATTCACCTGCCACAATGCCAATGTCTGATCATACACTGTAATTAAATTATTATATTTAAATAAGACGTGGGGTGTTAGAAACTTTGGGGTGGGGGCTGTAAAGTTAGATTGAATAGAGTGCGCTGAATGTTGTGTGTTTTATGTATAGGTCAACAGTAGCACTCTTATAAATTAATGTTTAGGAGAGAGTGTAGCCTTTCTTCGATGTGTGCATGTATAATAATAATAATAATTAAAAAAAATAATACACACACACACAAAATAATGTATCACTATATATTTATATCATTATATTTATGTATTTATATATATATGTGTGTTTTTTTTTTTGTTTTTTTAAAAACAGCCTTTGGAATATTATACAGATATGTTGTTTATTGAGTTGGTTTATATATATATATATATATACATATATATATATATATATATATATATATATATATATATATATATATATATACATACACACACATATATTTATATATATACACACACACACACACAACCCCCCCCCCCCCTTGATTAGTCAATAAACCTCTAAATCTGGGGGTAAATTCATCCAAACCGCACATTGATTCTATTGGAGTATAGCAAAACTAAATATGGATTTACACTTTTTCTTTTTTTAAAGAAAAGAAAATATTCTTTAAAAATGAAAAATAAATTGCAACTAGTTGGCCCAACAGTAACTCTACCAAAGGTAGCTCTTAGACAGGATTGTAGATTTCACATCACAATATTTAAAAACAAAACAAAAACTATATATTTATCTTTTTATATAGAGATTTATTCACTAAATAGCTTGTTATGGCGAGTTGGAAACGAATTTAGGGGAAAAGGTTGATTTAGTGCCCAACAATTATTTTGCCCTAAATCTTGCAAATTGGTTGCAGTGGTTTGTTAACTAAACACCGAATTGTAGTGAATTCAAAACCGAATTACAACATGTAGGCTAAGACAGCAAACTGTCAGGGTTATATGAAATTGAGAATTTAAAGTGAATTTCAAATTTAAGGCCAGAGAAGTCGACTTAGAAGCATAGCTGACTTGGAGATTATTTTTTTTAGTTTGCCAATTTTTATCTTAAGGTTCACTTTAACCCCTTAAGGACCAAACTTCTGGAATAAAAGGGAATCATGACATGTCACACATGTCATGTGTCCTTAAGGGGTTAAACTGTCTTTTTTTTAGTAAATAGCCTTGTATGACTGCAACTGGGACATTTGTAAACTGTAAAACACTTTTTCCCAAATCTAAGCAGTTTGTTTTTCCATTGAATGCATCCAGTGTATAGTGAATAAACCCCAATTTTAAACTTGCTTACAGTCACTTTGTAGTGAACAGATTCTTGTATCCCAGTTAAATTAGGATTGATTTATTATATAGACCAACTGCAATTTTTTAAGGGACTGTGTGCACGGTGTCTTTTTTTTTAATTATTATTTGAGAAATACATAGATTAGGTTTGTAGGTTTTAGAAACTGAAGATCTCCTTGCTCATGCCACAGATCATATAATATAATATAACCTCTCTAAGTCACTGAACTTCAGGTCTCTGTAAAATAATTCCTGGATTTATGGGAGCTCAGTGACATTCAGTTGCCAGGCCTCTTAGACAAACCTTTTCAAATACACTAGTTACTGTGTGTTTCTTGCCAAGTGCCCTTGCTGTGGGTATCAGCCCCTTCCTTCTGCCTTTCCAATTGTTCTGCAATAGGATCTCACCCAGGGCACTGGCTATAACAGCTCAACTGGCCTGGATCATTGCATATTTACATAATTACAATAACATCTTTCATGTTAATAAAAGGTGCATTGAAAAAAAAAGATATTGCTTTAGAAATCAATGGAATCTGAAACTAATTTCAGGAAACTTATTTTATGAAGAAAAAATAAATAAAAATAAAACTCAATAATAACGTGTTTTTAAAATGCCACCAAAACCATTTATTTTACCTTATGATCATATTAATTTGTACATTTAAATTATATAAATTAAATTATATATAATTTAAGCAAAATTAATATTACCAGGTAAATTTGTTTAAGTAGAGAAACTAAATGATTAGGACACATATAGTAAAGACAAAAATAAAATAAATTGGATACATAAATGGAAGTCTGTGAAAATGCATCCATGGAGTCTATAAACTGTGGGTAATCAACCATGACTACCATAGGTCCCCTCCAGGGGAAATAGGTTAGTTTTCACTCTAAGCACCATAGCCACTTCACCTTACTGAAGGGATTATAGTGCAAAACCCTGACCTTCTCTTTTGAATATGTTGTTTTAATATATATATATATTCTGTGTGCTGGCCTGTTTGGGGAGATGGGATGCTCTCCTTTAGGCTGGAAATATCAGTTTTGTGCTACTTTTGGAGTTAGTTTCAGCATGACACACAACATATTAATCCCAGTCACCCTAGACAGGCGCCTCATGAAATACACACACAGGAATATTTACTAAAGTGAGAATTCTCATTAATTCAAACTGCTTTTATAATCGTAGCCCAAAATAGCTGATCTAGAAGCATAGCAGACTTGGAGAATTGTTTAAATGAGCTATTTTGGCCTTAACGACCCCGACCATGCCATGCCTCCTGCTGTAGAACTCTCAGGCAATTTAACTCTCTAAATCCCTGATTAAGAACACATATACATCTGTTTTTTTTTTTTGTTTTTTTTTACCTCTTCACTTTCTAGGGGTCCTATAAAATTTAGTGTCCCTGTCCCTGTTGGTCTAAAACTTCTATAATGCTGAACAAGATTCTAGCTGAGGCTTGTGAGAGATAACATATACCTCTGATGTAATGTGAGAATAAAGAAACCACTTGCTAATCAGCTTATGTGGTGTATAACTCCAATCAACCTCACCCAGTGGATGGCTGAGCCTGATAAGTACATTAGTCCACAAAAGCTTTATGTGACAAGTCGACATTTTAATGGACACATAATACTGGGAAAAAAAAAAGTATATATTTTTTATTTTATTTTTTTGCAAATCTCTAAGTTTTAATAAAACCACTTTTCTCTGTAAGAGGCCCTGGACTTGAGATTTGTGCACAATTAAAAACTCATGGATCTCCATTAGCAGCAGAAGACAGTAAATTAGTTTACAATATTACTTCCAACAGAATAATATATATTTTTTAACAACACAAGCTGTAGTTGAGCCCTGGCAGTTTCTGTGTGTGAAGGCGGTCACCTAGGAATTTCATCATACTTTTTCAAAGTCACAGTGACAATTATTGTTTTTTAAAAAAAATAAAAAAATAAGCAAAGCAGTATAATGTGAGCAGCCAAACTGAACCCCAGAGTCAAGCAGTCAGCTTGTTTAACTCTCTGAATTCCATTCTGGAAGGGGAAATGTTGCTTGATCTGCATGATCATACAAATACAATATGTGTCATTAGGATATCCGAGTGTACTATCAGTCCAGGATTCAAGCGGAATTAATATTATTATTAATAATAGTTGAAACATTTTCTTAAAAATGTTCTCAGCTTTCCAAGCGAATTACGCGACAATCCTAAAAGAATTTGAAACCACACTCAAGTCATGGGAAGGGAAATACCTCTCATGGCTAGGCCGCATAGCAGCCATTAAAATGTCACTGCTACCAAAACTGCTGTATCTCTTCAGAACACTGAAGATACCCCTACCACCCACCTACCTAAGATCGGTCACATCCCTACTCTTAAAATGTATCTGGCAACACAAAAAATGTAGGGTAGCCACTAAACTCCTATACAGAACGGTAACAGACGGGGGGTTAGGCATCCCAAACTTGCACATCTATCACAAAGCGGCACTGCTGAGCACTATGCTAGTCTCGCATGACACACACTCCAACCCACAATGGACGGGAATTGAGGCCTTGTGGCTCAAATCCGACCAACTACATCCTGTTTTCTGGACTGACAGTACCCGTAGACACAAACACTATGATGGACTGCCCACTACTCGGTTGCTTATAAATACATGGGACAGGGCGAGAAAGGCATTGGCTAACCACCCCAAGATTCCAATGGCGACACCATTGCAAATCATTAGCATGACTGTCCCTACCTTCAACTATAAACCATGGATAGAGAAAGGCATTACCCAAGTATGCCACCTGTACCAGGGTGGACACGTAAAAACTTTTCCACATCTCCAAGAGCAATATAACTTACCCACCAGACTCCTATTCCCATACCTCCAGGTAAAGTCGCTGCTAGTGAACAACATACCCACTGAACCAAAGAAAGTGCTCACCGAACCAACCTCGGAGTTCGAAAGCTCCCTGACCCCTGTCAAAATGTTACCGTACACGTATGCAAAGCCAACCACCACCTCACGAATTGTACAAAGAAGCATGGCACAGAGAACTAGGAAACGAGCTTAGCCCCGCACAGTGGAAACAAGCATACACAGTCCATAAGGGCCTCACATCCTGCGCCCAGCACCAATAAATCCAAAGGAAAATCTTATACCGCTGGTACCTAGTACCAGAAAGACTCCACAAAATATGGCCCAATTCTACAAACATATGCTGGCGATGCGAACGAGAAGTAGGAACAATGATTCACATATGGTGGACATGCCCCACGCTCAAACCCTTCTGGACCCAGGCTCTGCGAATCCTATCGGATATGCTCGGAGCTCAAATAGACACTGATCCAATAACGTGCCTGTTATATATCTTCCCAGAGAAAATGCCCAAAACACACCAGGCACTAGCATACCACACACTTACAGCAGCACATTTCCTGATAGCGAGACATTGGAAATCCAGAGAACCATCTACTTGAAATCACCTACTACACCAGATGATGCTTAATTGGACATATGAAGCTATGCACCAACAACAGTTCGGCCCCAAACCCATCTTAGCAAAAGCAAAACTCGTATGGGACACATACACTAGGTGTAGGGACAAGACTCAGGAAAGCCTGCGGGTCACAGAGCTGGCATACGGGGTGCAGACTAGACTGGCAAACTCTGAGCTACGCACAGTAGACCCTCTATGAGGGTGGACTTCCCCAATCCCTCACCTTCCCCCTCCAGCACAATCCTCTATCCTAAGAAGAGGAGAAGAAAACAAAAAAGCTTCTGGACTCCCCTCCCTCTCCACTCTCTCTCCTATTTTCTTCTCTTCCCTATCCTGAATGTTATACAAAAAATGTTTGGAGCATGCGATATGCGAATGCAAGCGACTCTAGTACTTAACATGAGCCGGGCTTCCAAAACTGTACGTCTCTAGCATGAATGTTGTATAAAAATATGTATCTCGACATGACGTCTAACATATGTGCCTACATGATTTGGATGTATACGCATGTTCCAATAAAAATTGTCAAATTTAAAAAAAAATGTTCTCAGCAATTAAAGGAGCACTATAGGCACCCAGACCACTTCAGCTCAATTAAGTGGTCTGGGTGCAAGGTCCCTCTAGTTTTAACCCTGCAGCTGAAAACACTGAGGGTTAATCCAGCCTCTAGTGGCTGTCTCACTGACAGCCGATAGAGGCGCTTCCGCAAATCTCACTGTGAAAATCACAGTGAGAAGATGCTGGATGCCCACTGGAAAGCATTGAGAAATGCTTTCCTATGGGCGGTTTTTGAATGCTTGCGTGGCTCTTGCCGCGCATTTGGATCTGACGTTGGCAGGGGGAGGAGAGGTCACCAGGGCCGAGGGAGCCCAGAGCTGGAGAAAGGTAAGTGGCTGAAGGGGTTTTAATCCCTTCAGCCCAGCCGGGGCCCTGAGGGTGCGGTGGGGAGGGGACCTAATGTCTCTATAGTGCCAGGAAAACGAGTGGCACTATAGTGGTCCTTTAAGTTAGCTGCAATTCTGAGTTCAATTGCTCTGAGCAGTATTCAATAATCACCTCAATGGTCCCTGCTGGATCCACCCAATAAATACCAGTAAGCTGGAACCCAGTAAAAGTTAGTGACTGACTACACTAGTGATATTGTTTGGGGGTTGCTACCTGAGAATTATTACATCTCATCAAGACTGGGTGCCTTGACAAATCTTTCTGGATGGGTTTGTATATTTACTCAATTCCCAGTCACCATGCCGAGGAACAGCTGACAGCATTCAAGCTTTTTAGTGCAATTAGTAGTTGCTAATTTACAAGCACTATTCATAGCTATCTTATACGCAGTACAAAAAGGGCAGCTGCTGAAGGTCCAAACATTTCACAGGGGACCAACGTGGATGTCCCCTTTGTGCAATATCAGCTGGTTAAACCTATCTGAATCCGGTATTTGGACCATGTGATGATATGAATGTCACAATGTCCTATTCTCACAAGAACTCTGTGTACGTAGACCTGGATTCTGAATTTGTTGGAAGGTCTGTGGTGTCAAATCGAAATGGGTAGGGATTCCCTACCAGCCATATTATATAAATGTAGAGGGTAGAATCAATTTTAAGGTGAATTCTATGGGGGAAAAACGAGAGATTATAAGAACTCTGAGAACAGGCAATAGCGTAGAGAAACTCAGTAGCTTTCCCTTCTGTTAGTTCCCACTCAGGTCTCAAAAATGTTTTTGTTCACTTTGCCATTACAAGGACAGCCTATACCATTTGCATATCAGAATGATCCCACCAATAAAGGCAGTCCAGAACCAATATGCCGGCAAGTCCTCTCGCATTAGAGATACAGCAACCCATGAATCGTTTTGGCCTTCTTTGGGCCTCACCAGCAAGGTGTAGTTGATACTCCTCTAGGCACAGTGAGCATGGGGTCCACATCTGGATTACCCTATTAGCATAGAGAGAGCCAAAGAAATGCATCACATCAAAAATAGAGAATATTAGAACTCTGAGAATGGAGCAAAAGCTTAGAAAAACTTAGTAGTTTGACCTTTGATTAGTCCCAGCTAAAGCCCCTACCTCCAACCAACTGCACATAGATTAGACAAAGCAGTTTTAGTGTGTTAGAGTATCTTTAATCTACCTATGTAGGCCAAGAATTTGGCACAAATTAACCACTCTCAAACTGAGGCCCCACAACTGTGCTGATTTAGACAGGACAGTCCTGTTTTTTGGGGCCTGTCCCTACATCCTGAGTTAGTTTCCAGGTGTCTCACTTTTGGTGACACCGGGGAACTGTCACCAACACGAACAGTGTGAGTGCATCATTAGACGTGCTCGCTTTATGTTCAGGGCACTGGGACCCTGAAGGGAGTACTAAAACAGTGCTCCCTTGTAGGGTCTGCCCCCAGTGGGTTGGCCTGTGAGATTGACAGGCATCGTGGCGTGAAAGCACTGACCTGCCAGTTAATCCATTTCTGGCCAATCACATTAATGGGCTGCCCTCTTTACCCCCGTCCCACCAGCATCCTGATACTTGGACTGCCAGAGTTGGGAGGTATGCCAACCTCACACAACAGTAAACATCTTAAGCATTAAAAGGTACAAGCAGCAATGTTTATGGAAATTAATTACAAATCAGTGAACTCCATAAGTGCAACCAGCAGTCATCAAAATAAATCATCTTACATTGCTACAAGATAAAAACAATTAATATTTGAAGTGTACAAAATAAAGTGAATAGCTAAGAGGCCAAACATATTGCAACAATCACAATTCACTGTGCATCCTTTGATTTATCTCTATCCAAACCAAACCGGCAGCACTTTTTTTATGCAATAATTAACTATTATTGTATAAAATGAACATTCTAAGCACCAACATAACTTTAGTTTAATGTTTTTCTTTTGGCATAGATCATGCCCATGCTATCTTACTGCTCAAATCTCTGCCATTTACCGTATTTTTCGCTCCATAAGACGCACCTCACCATAAGACGCACCTAGTTTTTAGAGGAGGAAACCCAGAAAAAAAAATATTCTGAACAAACTGTTCCATAGTGTTTCTTACCATGGGACAGTTTGTTCAGAATATTTTTTTTTCTCCCCTGTCCCATAATGATCTTTAACCCCCCTTTCCTCTGTCCCATAGTGATTGTTAACCCCTCCTACCCTGTCCCATAGTGATTGTTAACCCCTCCTACCCTGTCCCATAGTGTTCTTTAACCCCTCCTCCCCTTGTCCATTAGTGTTCTGATCCCATAGTGTCCCCCCCTCCGATTGTCCCATAGTGCACTTTCCCTCCCATAGTGTCCCCCCCTGCCCTTGTCCCATAGTGTCTCCCCCTCCCCTTGTCCCATAGTGTCTCCCCCTCCCCTTGTCCCATAGTGTCTCCCCTCCCTTTCTCCCATAGTGTCCCCCTCCCTTTGTCCCATAGTGTCTCCTCCCCTCCCCTTGTCCCATAGTGTCTCCCCCTCCCCTTGTCCCATAATTACTTACCTGTCTTGGAGCGTGGGCCGGCTTCACAGCGCGCTCCGCGGTCCAGGAACTAATATTTCAGGTTCCGGTTTCCGGCGGGACTGAAAGGAAGTGTGCACACTTCCTTTCAGTCCCGCCAGGAAAACGGAACCTGAAATAGAAGTTCCTGGACCGCGGAGCGCGCTGTGAAGCCGGCCCACGCTCCAAGACAGGTAAGTAATTCTTCACATTCGCTCCATAAGACACACAGACATTTCCCCTCACTTTTGAGGGGAAAAAAAGTGCCTCTTATGGAGCGAAAAATACGGTAGTAGTTAACTGACTTTGCTTATGCATCCTTAGCCCCACCTACCTGCAAGTGACTCACACGGTCCCCCTACACACTGAAAAAGAGTCTAAATTGTTTAGTTGCCCTTACTGAACAGTTTGTTTCATTTAAAATTTCTTATCTGCCGCTCTCAGTGGTGTATTTTGGTTTTGTGCTGTCCTAGGCATGACAAAACTCGAGCAGCCCCTCCAATCTAAATTTTCCCCACCTCTTCCTGTTCAAGGCCAATATGCATTTTGACTGACAGACACACAACCTCACTGATGCATACACAGTCATTGGCATACACACTTTTTGAGCAACACACACATTGACAGACACACACTCACATTCACTGAGACACACACACACTGACAGACATACACACCAACAGACACACATTCACTGACAAACACCTACACTGACAGACAGACAAACACACTGACAGACAGTGGGGATACTTTTACTGCTGGCCGGGCGAGCAGTTAATCTTCCTGCTCTGCTCCCTCGCATGCTGTTTAGTGATGCTGGGGCTGGACTGATGTCATATTCCGGCTCATGGGATCTGCCTGCCCGCTTCCAATAAAAGGAGCTGCCTTCCTCTGGAGGCCCTTAGGCAGCAAGATGGCCAGGTCTAGGGCCCCCTAGGCACAAAGCTAACAAGGCATCTTCTTGAGGGCAGCGTTATTCCCACCCACTCACCCAAAAGTGCTTTCCAAGGCAAATGCCTTGTTACCCTTGCGAAAAATACAGCACTGGCTGCTCTATAAATAACTAGGTAAAGCCTGCAACAACCTCAATGTGTGCGATTAAAGTTTAATTAACAGAGCAGGAGATAAGAACTTCTAAAGTAAGCTAAGATCTGATTGAAAATGAAACCATGCATGCAGCCCAGAAGGGTCACTGATACCTGAAGATAACATTATCTCAACCCAAGAAATATCAAGGCCCTGTTACAGGATATTAGAGCCATGTTCCACAAGGACATGGTCAGGGAGGAGGTAGCTATGTTGACTAGCCATATAGTAGCTGTACTGGACAATGTGGCAAGCGTTCAGGTGGCACAAACTACAAGTGATACAACCATCAGCTCCCTACAGAAACAGTGCCTAGTATTATCTGCGCGTCTGGCCAATATGGAAGATAGGGCAAAAGCTGTCAACAAGGAGTTGCCTCATTAAGTCAGGTGTCTTCTTTTCACTGTACTGATACCAAGACAAGAAAACAGCAATAGATGCCGGTTGCCTAAAGCCAAGAGCACACCAAAATGTGCCCCAAGGGATGTACTGATCCGCTTTGCACGGGACTCTGACAAGGGTGCCTTTATGAGGGTTACCAGGAGCTCGCCATCTCTTGCCTTCAAAGGCGCTCAGCTCACGTTCTTCAGAGACCTCTCTCTCCCAACATATCATACTATGGAAACAATCGCTGTAAAAAGTTACTCACCTCCTCCAAGACAACGCCAACCCACACAAGTGGGACCAGCATCATCTTCTGTCTGACAAGAGCAGTAAGACATACATGATGTCACATCTTACTGAGTTGCCCACCTTTCTTAGGTCCCTGGAAGTGAGAGTGGAGCCTACACCAACCACATGTTGCCCTGCCTGGAACATGGAGAGTATCACCCCTTTTGTGCCGCAAGAGTCTACATAAGGTGCCAAACAGCCTGCTACCTAAGTTGTGGGGAAATCTCACATGTGAACAATCCTGTTATGATTTGCTTATATCAGTAAATTTTTCTTTCATTGCTGGCTTTGTAAGTTGCTGTAAATAATCTATTTTATAGCAAGATACCCCCTTTCCTCATATGTGTCTTTAAATAACCTGGGTATACATCACAATTTTAGCATGCACTTTGTCTTAGCGGACAGTGTTCTCCATCCATAATTCATATACTAAATGAGCTATCATTCTGTTGTGAAGGGATACTTCCTGGTGGGCTCCCCCTGTCATGGGCCGCAGCACTGGGCATGCGGCTCTTGAGCCACCCCCCTCAGCGCCGGGCCACTCCTCCCCATCACAGGGGGCCCAGGTGGTAGCCATCTGGCCACCTCAGGGCACCCCCTAAGTTGCCCTTCAGTATGGCAGAGCAGGCACCTTCTTACCTTGCTGACAGGTGCCTGCTCTGCCATCAAATGCCGGTGACCGGAGGAGCCAGGAGAAGGCAGGTGGCAAGGGAGGCTTGTGGCAAACTCCCCTTTTTACCCGAGTTTGCCACGAGCTCCTGGAGGAGCCTGCTTGCCAGCCTCCTCCAGGAGGGGCTATCAGGAGATGTGACGCTATGGGATTTTGTGTGTTTTTAAGGTTTTTTTGGTGGTTTCATAAAAATTGCATGTTTTTTCTGTGCTTGGAGATACTTAGGTTAGATTAGTACAGTTCCTGATTCAATTATCTCCCAAGCACAGAGGAGGGATTCTATTGTTTGTGTATGGGAGGGTCTCACTGTATGACTGTTTTATTGGTTGTTCACTTTGTGTCCCTGTGCCCAACAAGGTCCACCTGGGTGTCTCCCTTGTTGGGAAACTTGCATAAAAGGCCAATGTGCCTCCATTAAAAGCTATTCCAGCTTGCACTCCAAAACTGTGTGTCGTCCTGTTATTGGAGGGAAAGAAGATTTACTCATGTGTCTGCTGTTCCAACTTGCAGGGGATTCAATGGGGAAAGTCCTTGTAAGGACTAGAGCTAATTCCCTATTTGGCTCCAGGAAGGAGCAGTTCCAGGGCCCCAGTCAAGCCACAGTGACTGTGGGCAGAAGTGCTGCAGTTTGTCCCCTGTTCCAGCTAGGAAGCGGTCCTTGGTAGAGGTACCCAGCCAGGGGTACAGGGAGCTACGTTACAAGGCTGTTCTTGCAGCCCTGGCATACTAAACAGCAGGCAAGAGGAATAAGGAGCTGCCCCACACTGGACCCCAGGCAGGTAGGGAGGCAGAATTTGCCTAAAAAAAATAAAAATGTGAGTCTGTGTGTCAGTGAGTGTCTGTGAGTGTGTGTGTCTGTCAGTGAGTGTCTGTGTGTGTGTGTGTCAGTGAGTGTGTGTCAGTGAGTGAGTGTCTGTGTGTGTCTGTCATTAGGTGAGTGTATGTCTGTCAGTTAGTGTGTGTGAGTGTATGTCTGTCAGTGAGTGAGTTTGTGTGTCTGTCAGTGAGTGAGTTTGTGTGTCTGTCAGTGAGTGTCTGTGTGAGTGTGTGTGAGTGTATGTCTGTCAGTGAGTTTCTGTGTGTGTCAGTGAGTGTAGGTGTGTCAGTGTGTGTCTCTGTCAGTGAGTGAGTGACATGAGGAGGCAGCAAAATGGATCTTTGCCTAGGGCGGCAGAAATCCTTGCACCGGCCCTGTGTGGAGGCAAAATCTCGGTCTATGTTTTATTTAAAAAAAAAAGTGTAATTCTTAGCATATGATATTTTAGTTTAGAATGTGCAGCATAGTTGTTGAACTTTGAGCAGGATGACATATTGTTGCCTATTTGCCTGATACAGGTAGCTATTTGGGACTGGAGGTATCTATGTGTTTGTACAACTGTATAATGTCCTCCATCGGTTGATCTCTGTAGTACCAATTTATGCTAATATGCTGCCATTCATGTTTGTGACACCGCACAACGAAAATAAAGAATTAAATGCAATATGGTTTTCGACAAAGTTATAAAATAATGTCAGATAAAAAAAAATTGTTAAAGAAATAACACAAAATAACCACAAAAAAACTAAGAAGCAAGCAAAAAGGTAATTGGATACATTATAATACCATGGATGATTTATGGCCCATTCTCCCTTTAATGGATTATCTTGATGTAATCTATTGGTAATTTCACTGAATTCTACATATGTATGTTACTCGAAATTTATATACTGTAAAATGTTTTTCTCCCTTGATATTTTACCTATTGTGAGATTGAGTTGTTTTAAATCGAGTCAGGTTGGGTTGGGACATACACATTTAAAATGAAGCTGTTCTAGTGGCAAGTTCTATCTGTCCAAACTGCTAAAGCAGTAATGTTGTGCTTATAAGAACATAATAGGCTTAACACATGCAACAGCAGTGTTCTCAATGAATACCTTATTAGTATCAGTTCAGGAGGAAGTCCATACCATTATGGGTAGTAAGGCAGAACCTTAAAACAGAAGAAATACAATTTATGGCGCTAAAATGAATAGCAGCTAGAACACACTAGTGGGTACAATCACAATAATCCCACAAAAACAACAGTGTACAAAACAGAAAAAGTGTGCAGCGCATGAACCAAACCCACAAATCTTATAGGAGTATAAACACAATCAGTGCATAAAAATACAAAGAGAGATAAATACCCCAGTATTTTAAGATCTTTAAGGGTCATACGTTTTGGTCAGATCCCATATAGAAACTGGTTCAAGTAGTATCACTTTAAAATGTCTCAGGTCAAATCTTGAAGTTACTCTCAGGGATGTAGCTTGATCCTCAGAATATGGAAATGGTTGGACAAGCAAACATCAAATTAAAAGAGTATAAAAAGCACATTTATTATAAGTAAATAAAAACCTTACATTGAGGTCTTGTAAAATCAGCAAAGAAATAACAGCATAAATAGCAGAACAACGCGTTTCAACGATCAATCTCGTCTTCCTCAGGTGCAGTTCACATTGTTACATAAAATTCATACATTTAAAAGCCTTTTGGCGCGGAAAATCGGGTATTTAGGACCCGCCCCCTTTGCCATCAGACCAATCAGCAAAGACTAAATGGTTTCCTCTTCACAGTCTGTGATTTCCGGATCTATGCGTTCCATTCCTTTTACTTCCGGTATCGCATGCGTTCCAATATGCGTTTCACAGGGGGCACTTCCGGTTTCGCTTGCGGTCCGGTTTATCCGGCGAAAAAATTCTATATCAAGTTCATATGGCTACTAAACCTCAAGTCCACATAAAAATAATGTACATGTGTACATAGATGCTCATATATATGTGTACAAAACATGTACATAGAAAACAGGGAAATAAAATAGAAAACCAAAAGTTAATAATAGCCACAAATAACTCATTATATCTATATATACAGATACATAATAAAAGAGTGAGGTGGAACCAATAAGAGTGTGTTCACCAGGTGAAGAGTGTGTAGAGAATTAGATATAATTGTACATTTCAAAATCAATGTTTAAACCACATGGAGAGAGGGTTTCCAGCTCAAAGATCCATTTCATTTCTGTTCTATTCAGGATCTTGAGGTGGTCCCCCCCTCTCCATGGTTTTTGAACCTTTTGGATTCCCAGGAAATGTAAACATTTGGTGTCCCCATTATGTTTTTGATAGACATGTGCTGATACTGAATGATTAAGAACTCCCTTTTGTACATTCCTAAGATGTTCACAGATCCTGACTTTTAGGGGTCTAGTGGTACGCCCTATGTACTGCAGTCCACAGATACATGTTAATAAATAAATAACATTGTTTGAATTACATGTTATAAAATCTTTAACTGTATATTCTTTTTGTGTTTTACTTGAAATAAATTTCTCAGTTTTTTTATTTATGATTTTACTCATACTACACGCCCTACAATTCCCACAGTTAAAAAATCCTTGTAATTTTTTTCCTTGTAAATCATTATCTTTGAGGGGTCTTTTGGGGATATAACTCCTAGTCAATATATCTTTAAAATTATTGGCGCCTCTATAAGTTATTTTCGGCTTTTCTCCTATAAATTCACTAAGATCTTCATTTTGTTTAAGAATATACCAATGTTTTTTTAAAACTTTATGAAAAATATGACTCTGTGAGTTATAGTCACAAATAAAAGACACTTGTTTCGTTTGTGTGCATTCTTTTCTCTTTTTATACATTAATAAATCTTTTCTGGGCTTAGTTAAAACTTCCTCCAATTGTGCCTCTACATCAACTTTTTTGTAACCTTTCTGATAAAATTGTTCTTTTAACATATCAGTTTGTTCTAAAAATGTTTTTTCTTCCGTGCAGTTCCTTTTTATTCTCATAAATTGGCTTTTAGGGATATTTGAAAGCCAAGATTTAAAGTGACAACTCTCACTGTTGATGTAACTATTGACATCAACAGTTTTAAAAAAAGTACTAGTCTTAACAACTCCATTGTCAATGAAAATCTTTAAATCTAGGAAGTGTACTTCTTGATTGCTTATTTCCGAGGTAAGCTTAATACCCCAAGAATTAGAGTTTAGAAAAATTAAAAAGTTATCCAGTGATGTCTTACTTCCCTTCCATATTAAAAAGATATCGTCTATGTACCGCCTATAGTAAGGCAGAACCTGCCTCCAAGATGCTGTGGACAGTCATTCCCACTATTTGCAACCCGACAAAGCTTAGGGGAGAGTTTGGGTTTGAAAGAATATTAGCTTAACTGGTCATGAAGAACTATAGAAGAGAATACATGTTTCATCCCTCCGGTTTATAGGTCTTGGCCAGAGAACCATGGCGTGGATTACTGCACTATACAGCACACCAAGGGCGACGGTACGCGTCAATGGAGCGCTGACCACGAGTTTTGGAATTGCGAATGGAACCAGGCAGGGCTGCCCCTTATCTCCGCTTCTTTTCGCACTCTCTCTGGAGCCACTTCTGCAAGCGATTCGAGATCGTCAGGACATACACGGTTACACCTGGCAGGACACGGAACATAAGGTGGCTGCTTATTCGGACGATCTTTTGTTCTTTGTCTCCCAGCCTCGGATCACACTGCCATGTATACTATCTGAGATGGATAGATTCGGCCGAATCTCTGGGTTTAAACTCAATCTAGCAAAATGTGAGGCACTAAATCTCACCATACCCGTAGCGGACTACGTATCCCTCGGCCCACTCTTCCCATTTCGATGGTGTACGGGAGCAATGAAATACCTCGGCATATGGATCACCACAAACCCACAAGACATATACCAACGCAACTTCACAACCCTACTGCACGGCATTGAATCCGATCTGAAAAGATGGTCCTATCCATATATTACATGGCACGGCCGGATAGCGGTCCTTAAAATGAACGTTCTCCCGAGAGCGCTATACTTATTCCAGACTATACCGATGGCGCCGCCGGCAAAATTCTTTTCAACTCTGAAATCAGAAGTGATCAGGTATGTATGGAGGGGAGAAAGATCCAGGATACGACATGAAATACTGTGCATGCCCAGACATAGGGGGGGTTTAGCCCTACCCGATTTTAAAAAATACCACCAAGCAGCGATGCTACAACGGATTCTGGAGTGGCACAAATTAGAGACGACCAAACAATGGGTGATCCTAGATCAAGAAGGAGACAGTGCAAAACTGAAGGCTGCAATTTGGAAAAGGCGGGCAACGAGAGGCAACAGAAGAGGGGACGATGACCCAGTTACACAAACACTCCTCACATGGGAACAACTCAGGAACAACTCAGGGAAACACCACAAATCTCCCCAACTCCTTGCCCATTGCTACCGATCGCTCATAACCCCAGTATAGGAGGCGGCCTACCGCCAGATGCCTGGTCATTCTTGGGCGAAGCAGGATACATCCCAATACATAAGGTCATTCGGGATGGCGCCCTGCGGACTCTGGACGCGCTACTGGAATCAAGACCGCGCTCATATGGCGGTTTTTCGATACATGCAACTGAAACATTATTTCAACACACTCCCGCACAAAGAAAAGCTGCAAAGAGACCTCACATGGTACGAGCAACTCTGCTCCAGGGGCACGTCATTAGGGAAAGCAATCTCGAACCTCTACCAATACATACTGACCAGCCCCACCTCGGAAAACAACCTCTTGAAACGACACTGGGAACGAGCCATGGCTAAGTCCTTCACAACAGCACAATGGGACAAGGCCTTGCTCTGGCAGCACAAAAGCTCCTCCAGCTCTCACTATCAAGAGGTGAACTACAAGTTGCTTTCTATGTGGTATCGAACACCTGTACTGTTACATAGGATCTTCCCCACTACACCACCAACGTGTTGGAGATGCCAGGAGGATAGGGGGAACATGCACCACATATGGTGGGAATGTAAACACATTGCCCCATACTGGGACCGGATCAAATCAGACATTCAACTGATCCTGGGAGATGACCTTGAATGGTCAGAGGAACTAGCCTTGCTACACATATCCAAGCGACCACTATCCACATACAAAAAATCTATCATGCGTCACCTATTGAATGCGGCCAAATCGCTCATACCGGTATACTGGAAGAAACCAGACATCCCGACAAGGGAGGAATGGATCCACCGGGTTGAGGACATCAAGGCAGCGGAAGCTCTGAAGGCGGAGATGACGGGCAGGGAAGCTCAACACGCCGAAGCCTGGGCACCATGGTATACATACCGCTCTCAACCTTAAGGGGTTCCGGGGGGGGGACTGGGACAGGGAGACGATATGGAGCTCACTAGACCCATGCGACATGAACCACACTCTATATTGATCACCTGACGATCGCAGACTCAACCAACACACCTCACACCCCATCCACAACGTTTGGGGGATAAACACATCCCCGCCACTTCAATACGAACACGAGATCTCATCCGATACGACGGATAACCCTGACCCGCAGTAACTCCATAGGTCAAAGGGGGACCTCTTAGGGCGTGACCCATATCCCCACAGAACCACAAGGGGGGGCATCTTGAGCACATCTGGACATGACGCGCATATCACCTCTATAAGACAATGCTGACAATCAGATTAACGGACGTGTGCAACAGCCCCGAGATATAGCAACACACACATACACCACGACACTATACCTCTCCTGACGAACCCTAGAAAACACAGACCCAAGCAAGGGCCCTCACGGCTGACCTCACCTTGACATGCCGCAACACGACAACATGATAACTAGCAAGAACCTCGACCAGGTTAATAACTACCGCGCCCAACCCGGATGGGCTCTAACACACGGGAAAAGGACGCAAATCTCGCACATCCGACCAAACAAGCCCATTTCTATAGAAACAACTCGATTGCCATATGGACAGGGTCACTGTCGGTTGCAGATGGATTACAAGGGGGTAGACTGACTACACTAAGCCCTGGGTACGTACGGACCTCTTCTCACTGCTCCCCATATCCCTGCATTGTGGATCTCGTATCAGACAGACACCACACACTCCTACACATGACCACTAGTTAGGATATTATCCTTCACACCAAAACACACAACATACATTCATTGACAATTACTCTGGCTTCACCCCAATCAAGGAACCGCATCCTTAGAGCACATATGAGCGCTACCATACCCACGTAGCTCTAGCTCTATATGGAAGCCCCTGACTCCAGGATATATTGGGACGATAATATTTTTCAATTCACACTTTAGAAAATAAACAGAATTGTACTCTATCATTGGTTGTATATTGGAACAGGGAACATCCCTGCATATGTACACGTATATGTTATACTTCAAAAATGCTACCTTCACTGTTTGACTGATGTGGGCCTGCGAGCCCTGAAATTTATCGTACCTAATTGCTAATAAAAACCTGATTAACAAAAAAAAAAAGAACTATAGAAGAGGACCTTGAACAGGTGATTTCAGTCTAGAACCTACAAGGAAAAAAATAATTGGATGCAGAAAAAAAAAAATGTTTTTTGATGATTAAAGTACAATATTGGTGGTCCTAGGCGGAAACACTCACTGTGTGTTGTGATTGTATGTGACAAACCGCCTAATTTTTCGCACAACAATCTACTTTGTGTGCCTGTGCCATTTTGTAGCACTATCCTCTATTTTAGACCTATGAGAGCATCCACCCTAGAAAGGTGGGGTGTGGAGGGCAGTCATTCATATGCACCATCCATGAGGTGCATTATTGATTTCTGCAGAATTGCCTCTTTTTCTGACTTTCCATCTTTTGTTTCTCTTTTTTTTTTTTTACTTTCTTCACCTAACTTGTGAGAGACTTTCTCTGGCATCAAGCTTTATGTGTGAACATGTATCAAAATTCTGTAAGCGAAAACTCCTATTATTTCACAAAGTCAGTACTCGGTCATGTGTACTTTAGATGCAAGTCATATTTTTGGGTAGTCTAGTTAATAATAATTCAAATGTAGACTTGTGACAGCAGATCAGAAAGAATAGGCCCTTCAGGTTTGCCTATATTATATGTGGACCTCAAAGCAGCATGAATTTTGGATCAACAGCAAAAAAACTAATGTGAGGAAGCAGTGGCGTACACATGACCCATGGGGCCCCGGTGCAAAAATTGATCCGTGGGCCCCCCCCCACGCTTACTTGGCGCGGGTCGGGGTTGCAACACATGGTGGCGGGCACCTGGTTGCAGGGGTTGCAGGGCTGCGACCCCGCGACCGCGGTATGCACACACACTTAAAGAACCACTACAGACACCCAGATCACATCAGCTCAATGAAGTGGTCTGGGTGCCAGGTCCCTCTAGTTTTAACCCTGCAGCTGAAAACATAGCAGTTTCAGAGAAACGGCTATGTTTCACTGAGGGTTAATCCAGCCTCTGGTGGCTGTCTCAGTGACAGCTGAGAGAGGAGCTTCCGCGATTCTCACTGTGAAAATCACAGTGAGAAGACACTGAACGTCCATAGGAAAGCATTGAGTAATGCTTTCCTTTGGGCGGTTTAAATGCGCGCGCGCCTCTTGCCGTGCATCTGCATTTTGGAGCTGAGTGGCGGACACTGGGGAGTCCGACGCTGGAGAAAGGTAAATGCTGAAGACACACACTCTCACGAACAGACGCATACACACTAGCTAACAGACACACACATTTACTGACAGAGACACACTCAGCGACAGACATACATACACACTCACTTACAAAACATACACTTTCACTGACAAACACACACTTACTAACAGACATCAAACACACTCAGTAACAGACACACACACTAACACACGCACTAACACAAACAAACACTGACACACACACACACTAACATACACTAACACACACATACACTAACACACACACACTCTTACACACATACACTAACACACACTAGCACACACACTAACACACACATACACTAACACACACACACTCTAACACACACATACACTAACACACACACACACACACACTAACACACACACACACATTTTTTTTTTCCAAATGTAATCCCCCCAGCCTCCTTACCTTTTGGAGTGCTGGGGGGATTCCCTGGGGTCCAGTGGTGCTGCTGGGCTCCTGGGCGGCACGTCACTGGGTGGGCGGGCTGTCTGGGTGGCCGGCGCGCGAGGGAGCACTTTCCCCTGTGTGCTTCCTCTTCAGCTCCCTCGCGCACCGCGTAGGGATGCCGGAGCCGGAAGATGACGTCATCTTCCGGCTCCGGCATCCCTACGCGGCGCGCAAGGGAGCTGAAGAGGAAGCACTGAGTGCTCCCTCGCGCGCCCGCCTGCCCGACCGGCCAGGAGAAGAGGCTGGCCCTGTGGGTACATACCGGGTCGCAGGGGCGGCCGGGCCCCCTGGTGGGCCGGGCCCGGTCGCAGCCGCGACCCCTGCGACCCTGGTATGTCCGCCACTGTGAGGAAGGCTGGACTTGATGGACACATCTCTTTTAAGCCTATGTAACTATGACCTCTATTTTTTTTTTTATTCCAAACCCGACTACTAGTACCTCCCAATTTGCCTATTTTGTAACATTGGCACCCTTAATCACCTTTATTTTGATGACTCTACTCGGAGCTGGACCCTTTTTCAAGGTGCATCCATCTTCAAGTAACGTCGTCTGCTCATAGTACGTGACATGATCTAAATCCCATGCATGGAATGGCAGATAGGGGAGCTTGTAAGGGTATGAGGTTAGGGTATTTAAATACATTTTTTACCTGACAAAGGAAGTGGTGCATCCTTAAGTTCCACCCTATGTCAAGCTTTGTCAAGAGTAGGAAATATACAAAAGACAATATGGTCCCTACTTTGTCTTATATTTTCAAACAGAAATAGATGAGAAAAGAAGAACAGATTGGGTAAGAGGA